GCTGTCACGTTGTAAATACTCTGTGTGCCACCTTCTCCTCTGGGACCCTCGGCGCGGGCGGGGGGCGAGCGGGAGGCTGGGTTCTGTACCGAGACTTTTTTGTATACCACAAACTTTTTGTATATTTTTAATTTTGCTGCAACATGAGATATTAAATTCATTTCAATAAGCTCTGCCTTGGGAACCTGTTCTTGTCAGCTCAGGCCCAGGGCTCTGCAGTGGGGCAGGACACTGCCGTTCTGTCCTGGGGTGCTTGGGGATGCTGGGGATGATGCTGCCCATCTGGTGCTGGTGGCCCTGGCTGGTGGTGGCCCTGGCACGGTGACCGGCAGGGAAGGGGTGCACAGGCAGGATGCAGCGTGTGGGGAGGAAGGACATGGCCACTACCGGACCAACCTCCGCCCTGCCGAGCCCCGGCCGACCCCCAGGACCTGGGGGGTCTCCAGGCCCATCCCATCTGAGCACAGCCTCCGCTCTGCCCAAATCCCAGCCCGGCCCCAGCCCAGGGGCCACCCTGAACCCCGGTGCTAGTCCCAGTCTCAGCCCCAGCCCCAGCCTTCTCCTGGTCCCAGTCCTAATGCCGGTCCTAGCCCCAGTCCTAGTCCAAGTCCCAGTACTGTCCTGATACCTGTCCCAGATCCAGTTCCAGTCCCAGTCCTGTCCCTGTCCTGGTCTCAGTCCCAGCCCAGTCCCAGCACGCCCCAGGAGGGGCAGGAACACACACCCCAGCCGTCCTGGTGGAGTTTCCGACACAGGAAAAAGCTGCGGCGCCGAGCGGGGCGGTGGGGGCGGCTGTGCTGGAGGCAGCTCCACGGCCCCGCCATGGACTGTGAGGCCAAGAAGGGCAAGAAGGTGCGTGGGGCTGAGGCTGGGGGTCCCGGGGGGCTGGCAGGAGGGTGACAGCGGGTGAGACATATGGGGACACCAGGATGAGGGTGGGATGGGGAACACTGCAGCAGAAAGAGGTGGGGTCCCCACAACTGCCCAAATGGTGCAAATTTGGGGTCAGGGAGCAGAGAGGTGCCCAGCCCCTCCTGGGGCACTGGGCACCCATGGACCTTGGGGTTGGGTGCTCAGTGCTGACGTCCCTGTGCCCGCTGTCCCTGCCAGGGCTTCGTGTCACCCATCAAGCGGCTGGTGGTC